TTGTGGATTTACTCTCCAACACACCCGTGTGCTGAAGCAGTAACTAATTGTCGCGTTGTTTACATGACAAATCCCTTACTAATTGCCTGTCGGGTGGTGGAAGGTTACGACACATTTATACTTACGCGATCTAACCCAAAAAACCTTTATTATTATTGGTCGCGAAAGCCTACTAGGTGTTAAACTGAAACTAAACTGTTTATAATATTTGTTTTTTATTTAACCCAGGTAAGGCCCGCTGAGCCGCGTTGCTCTTGATTGAGGTCGGCGCTTCGACAAGTCCGGTGGTGTGGTCCAGCGCCGTGTGAATGAAAACTGCTGCTGCTGCTTTTGTTGTTGCAACTTTCCATCCTCAATTTTCGTTCTAGTTCACCACTTTATTCCATCCTTCTGGCCCCGATCTCCCTTCCAGGATTAAAACTATGTTTTTTTTTAACTAAGTAAGGCCCACTGAGTTGTATAGCTTTTATAGCTTCAGAAGCGACCTGGATATCACAAACAATCGCTCAACGAAGTGGGCTTATCGTGACGTGGACATTTATCGCGGCCAAATACGCGCGATGTTGATTCAAAATGTGGAGGGGGCAAACCCGGAGAAAAATCCACGCGACCACGGGAAGAGAGAAGATGCAAATTCTAAATATACAACAGGTGGCAAGGGTCGAGATATAACCCACGACCTCCCGTATACCTGGCGAGGTAGTTAACATCTCGCTCACGTGGCACCACGTGCACAGTCGCCCACGAACCAGACAACAACAAAAAAAAACAACCCAACGTATCCGTGAGAAAGCAAACGCAAACATCGCATTCCGTTCGATAACGAGATCTGATACTTTACCCAACACACACGGCACGCTGCACGCACCCATAACACGGCAGCCTGCCAGATCAGCGACTTGAGCGACTTGACGCACGCCGTGAAAAAGCGGTGGCGAACCCCGCGGGCTGCGTTGACGCCGAGAGGGCTGGCGTCGTGGTGCCGTGTGACCGCGGTGGTGTGGGGAGGGAGACGCGCTGCTGCGCAACAGTTTTCGTGACACACACCCACACACAACAAAGCGCTGCGAGCGCTGTTGGGTTGGGAGGGTGGCTTGCTGGAGGGACACCAGAGGACTTCAGCGTCTCGCGGACCGGGCAACGGTCCAAGTGTAACTCATACTCGCCGATGTGTAAATGTATACCGGCATTAGCTGGTTGTGAAAGGGAATCAGTAGCGGTGTGACGAGCGTGGCGGGGGAGAGAGCGGGAGGGGGGTCTTGCTTCTCCCACCCCTACCCCCACCATCCCTGGTGGCCAAAGGTACGAGTTGCCACCCCCTCCCACCTTGACAACCACCGAGAGGCAGATCAAATAATCACTGAGGGACAGATCAAATATTTGAGGGGTGGGGGGGGGCCTCCAGCAGACACCGCCGCTGCGCTCCCCACCGGGCCGCGAGGGTGGAGCCGACATCGCCAAACGCGACTGGACGCGAACCCCTCCCCTGCTCCAGAGGGGTTCCTTGCGCCGAGAGCCAAGCGCCCCCCACTGCCCGTCACAAGCGCCAGGCTGCGTTGTGTGTACGCGTGTTTTGAAATTCTTTCGCACCGTACGTAGCCAACCGTGCCGATCGGAGCTCTGGAGAGGGCCGCTGGCACGTGGTTTGTCGTTTCGCCACCGTTTTGACCTTCGTCAGCCACAACGCTCACGGCGTGCCCTGGCTTACTGCTCCAGAACAGGGCGATCTGCGACTGTCGTGTTGCATGCGGCGGCCCTGTTAAAGAGACAGCAGCTGCGTTGTGAGACGTGGCTTATTGAGGACCCGCAGTCATCGCATTCATCGAAGAAAAGATCGTCCTCTCCTCATTGTTGTCTGGGACGCCGAACTTTGCATCCAGACATTTCTCTCTGTGCGGATAAACCCGGGGTTGTCCATGCGGTTGTGGGTAAAGCAAAAACAACCACGGCACTTTTCACACATGTGCTATTTAGCTGCCAAATGCCGCACACTTAACACTTCGATGTGGACCCGTGCTCCAATAAACACTGGTCGCTTCTTTAGAACTGCTTTTCGTGTTTAGTTTGTTGTCCTTTCCCCCGGCACCCACGATCGGCACGGTTGGCTACGTACGGTGCGAAAGAAGTTCAACACACCCGTACACACGACGCAGCCTGGCGCTTGTGACGGGCAATGGGGGGCGCTTGGGTCTCGGCGCAAGGAACCCCTCTGGAGCGGGGGAGGGGTTCGCGTCCAGTCGCGTTCGGCGATGTCGGCTCCACCCTCGCGTCCCGGTGGGGAGCGCAGCGGCGGTGTCTGCTGGGGGGGGGGGGTGCTAAGGGCCAGGCTCTCCAAGCCTCGACGAATATTCATAACCAAGTGGGGAATCAGCGGTCCCTGGTCTCGCCTCGCTCACTCAGAACAAGCTATTAAAATGTAACCGACACACGTGGCAAATGCTGGAATATTTTACTTATCCGCTACATAAGGGAGGTGGGGGCTGGAGGTGTGGGCTGGAGGTGGGGGCTGGAGGTGTGGGCTGGATCTGCCCCTGCACGGCAACGTGGGTGCGCTGCAGCACACAGGTTGTCAAACCTTGCTCTGGATTATTTTTAAAATCCTGAAGCAAAATCCCGTTAAAGTCAAGTTTATAAAAGTGATCATCCACACGCAATCTGCAGAGTCCGCGTGGCGAGGGACGGGCGCATAGCCGCCTCGGCTCTTGCTGCCACGCAGGGGTCGAGTCCACGGGTCCGTTCTCCACTCCACGTCGGCGGGAGTGTTGGGCAGAGCCAAGCGTCATCGGAGTAACTCTCTCCCGGACTCTGTAACTCGGCGAGTCGAAACTGGTCCGGTGCTTGCCCGCAGCTGGAAAATGTTGGGTCTAGCCCCAGTGTTCTTCACTCATTTTCAGAGTGGTCGCACTTTCCCCGATAAGACATCATCGGCGTGAGGGCCGCCACGCATTAGAAACCACTGTGGGTTTGGCAGCAGCACGATGATGATGATGATGACGGGGGGTGTTGTCACGTGCTGTGTATTTGTCAGGGAGCCACACGTTAGGGTCCGCACTCAAGGCCGCCAGGGGCCACCATGAGGCCCGCGGGCCTTGCAATGAAGAACACTGGCCCACAGAGAAGTGGGAAGGGGGGGGGGGTGCCAACAGCCTAGCGATCTCTGTGGTGGTGGTGGTGGTGATGATGCTGCTGCGACCGCGGAGTGGAAGCAGGCGAGGTACTCACGAGGCGGCGTGACATCGGGGCCCGTTTCCTCACTCGTCCAACTCACTGCGAAATCCTAGAGTTGCGTGCGCACGGCCGAGTTGAACGCCAAGGAAATGAAAGGCGCGCGTGTAAAACCCAAATTAGCCAGATTTTTCGCTTGCAGCCAAAAGCTCGACTGTAAAAAAAAAAAATCGTAATAAAAGTCACGCCTCATTTTACCAACAGTCCACCTTACAAGAGCTCTAACTCCATGTCAAATGCGCCAATTCCGTTTTTGGTTACATACAATTGAAAATGTGCAGGCTGCGCTGTGGATACCAATGCATTTCATAGCACGACCGCACGCACCCCATTAATAACGATGAACGCGACCACTGAAGCCTCGGTATTTCCCAAGAAAAAAGCCTCATGGAGTCTCAAAACCGCTTTCAGGAGGGTCCTGCATTGGGATGTTCGGCCAAGACCATGCATGAGCGGGAAAAATCCACGGAACGCCCTCACATGCGAGATATTAACTTCCTCGCCTGGTATGCAGGTCCGTGGTTCGATCCCGACCCTGACGCCTGCTGTATATTTGGAGTTTGCGTGTCTTTCTCTCCCCCAGTGATCGCATGGATTTTTCTCCGGATCCTCCCTCCACATTAGTAACATGCGTTAGAGTATTTGGCTGATTTAAACATCCACATGATACGCCACTACATTGTGTGGCCAGCTCGCTTCTGAAAAATATCTCAAAATCTCAGTGGACCTTACCTGGTAAGATAAAAACAATTAGTGAAATAGCAACAGCACTCAGAAGGGATCAACACTCAAAAGTCCCGCGGATTTATCCACGGACCCAACAGAGTAACATCCGTGAAGCGGCCTGAGCCCATTGCTGTGCCGCCATCCTCCCGTGCACCTCTCAGCCTGCAGTCGCATTTTTAGCACCCCAGAGCGACCACCAGCCACCACCAGCCAGCACGAGCCACCACCAGCCAGCACGAGCCACCACCAGCCAGCACCAGCCACCACCAGCCAGCACGAGCCACCACCACGAGCCACCACGAGCCACCACCAGCCACCACCAGCCAGCACGAGCCACCACCAGCCACCACCACCAGCCACCACGATCCACCACGAGCCACCACGAGCCACCACCAGCCAGCACGAGCCACCACCAGCCAGCACGAGCCACCACCAGCCACCACCAGCCACCACCGATTTCCTGCCGCGCAAATGAGCAGCAAAGCGTGTGCCTGTTTACAACCCTGAGCCAGTGGTGCGAATTCCACATTTATATGGCGGGTTGTGAGTCTCGCTCTCTCTCTAGAGGATATCGCTGTTGACTTCCCCACAAAGTGGTACTTATTTTAACAAACCCAGAGGGATGATGGGCCGAGCCAACCCCCCCCCCCACCCCGCCCAAAAACCAGGTTTTGAACTCGCAACTTTGCGACTGCGAGCCGCTCCCTCCCCTGCTGAGCCATCTGGCCAGGTTCTCTATAAAAGTGCATTAACAAGCAACATGTTCCAGTCTTGTTCTTTCGTACGGCTGATGATGTAGATGCAGAGACAACTGCAATTTCACATTCAGGTGGTCAAGCCAGATAACCGCACCAGGAGCAAGCGGAGTGTATCGCCGTGATGTCTTCTCTGTATATGTGGATGGGCATTGCATTGTTAAATATGTTGTATGTTCCAGTTAATTTGTTTGATAAGGTGATAACTCGAGAGACCATGATGAGTCTCATTCGCTAGTCGCCTCGGCATCCATAAACACACACGCACATAAGGGAAACGCAGAACAGGGAAAGATGAGAGCTTACGAAGGGTGGACTTCCACCTTTATAGAAATTTACCAGAATCCTACAGCAACCCCGAAGCTGCACCGTCTCACCAACACAGACGCGGCCTTCAGACATTCAACCAGACACAGAAGCAGCCTTAACGCATCGAACCCGCTGAAGTTTAACGTCTCACGACACGGAGAGAGAGAGGGGGGGAGGGAGCACGACAGAGTCACCAATCCTCACCCGGCACTCACACAAGGAGGAGGTCGATTCACTTGGCGCCACGGGCCGAGATACCTCCACGGCTCGTCACCCGCCGTCCCTAGCACCGGCACCACCACACCCCGTACCACCTGGAGAGAAGCCCTTCAGCCCAGCGGTGTCTCTGGGCCGTTGACTGGTCACCGGTGACCGTCTTCACGACCGATGAAACGATGTTGAATGTCAGGAAGCGGTACCCGATGGCAGTGGAGCGTCAGTGATGAATGCACCGAGTTAAACAACAACTCTTGTTTCAACCGCCACGCTGCCGGAAGATGGAATCGAGCTGGCGACTTGTGGATCGCAAGTCGAGCAGCACGCCGACCACAACCGTGGCAGCTCCCATCATTTCTCGGTTAAAAACGGAAACACGTTGCTTTAACCGTGAGACATTTTATATATGCGCCGGTAACCCCTACCCGGTTGTGTTCACGCGGTTACCGGTTTTCATTTAGCCTAACTCCACGGTCGATTAAGACACGGCCAAGTTTGTTTACATCTCCTGTTTAATGACTTGCGGTGCGCAGGGCCACGTGGGCCTCGGCAGGGGACAACACAACGGCGCTGATGACGGGCGCCAACCGGCGTTGAAGAGGAGGCCATCCTCGCTGCGCGGCGGAAGCGTGTGCAGGTCGCGGCGAGAGGACGTCGCGGCGCGCCCAGCGAGACGCAGCTTGTTAGCGCCGCGGTTTTGGCGCAGAAATCCTCGCACGGCTTCCCAGGGGAGGCGGTTCTCGTTCAAAATGTGTCACACACAAGTGACGACATCACATTTACTCTAGCCCCCACCGCCCCCCACATCACCATTCAAGACCCAAACAGGAGGAGGATTTCTCCACAATTCTGGCTGTCGCCTGATGATGCTGGTTGTTGTTGTGATTACCGGCGAAATGTCACGATATTAGAATTGTAAATGTTGTGGGTTTACTCTCCAACACACAACCGGTGTGTTGAACTAGTAACCAATTGGCACGTTTTGTTTACGTGACAAACCTTACTAATTGGCTGTGTCAGGTGGTGGCGGGTTTAACGACACGTTCATATTTAAGCGAAAAAAAACCTCCATTATGGAAAATGTGTGATGTTTCCCCACGATGCCACGCAAAATAGAGATATTACAATTTGGCAAGTTTATCAGATATCTAACAAGAGATATGTAACAACAGATGCACTAGGAATTTGTCGCAATGTTTGTTCCTTACTAAGAGGCCATGGTTTTGGATATGAAAGCAAAGGTTTAGACTGGCCCTATAATGCTTTTTCGTTTAGTTTCCACCCCCCCCCCCGTACCTCTGATGAGCATAGTTGGCTACGTACACACATACGTTCCCCGTCAGTTTACACATTGGTGCGAGTCACCCGACATCTGTTTCACGTTTCTGAAACTCAATTGTCATTGTCCTGTGATCAGTCTTAAAAACAATCTGCCCGAGCCGACTTCCACTGCTGGGAATAATTTAGATTCCTCATGTGACGCTGTATTCACTCCGATTCCAATTTGCTTTATTGCTGTACTTGACGCGAGTTGTTTCGCTGTCGTCGCTGTGGTGACGACGAGACTCATCCTGGTCTCCCGAGTTCTCACAGGGCACAACAAAAATCACCCCGTGCTTGACTTGAGTTCAGCGGATCGCAGCATTGCCATCATCATCATCATCACTGAATCCACCCGCACGCGTCACCCGAGGCAGGAGAACCCGAGGCGGGGTCTTCGGTAACTCTTCGAACCGGAGCGGCGAGGGGCCCGCGGCCCGGCGTGACAAAAGACGCCGCGCGGAAACGAGAACGGGGAAACGCGTCGGTGGTCCGGCAGCCGCCGGGGCCGCGGACGACGAACGACCGTCCAACCGCGGCAGCGTCACGAGGAGCCGGCGGCCGCAGAGCCGTGCGCGGTGAACGGGCTGCGCTAGCGAGCGACCGGCATTCGTTTACGAGTTGGCCACACATGACGCTGGACCGCTGCCAGGCGCATGCCGGCGAGCTTGGGAAACGCTCTCGGCCCCAGCGTGTCCCGATGGCGAGCATTCTCCTCGTCGTGGGGCTGTGCATGACAGAACAAAGATTGCTTTGGTAACACACTACCCTTTTGTCTGGGCTGCTAATAAAAAAAAAACCGCGCGCACGCACCTGAAGTATGTTCTTAAATAAAATGCCTACAGTGTAGAGGGAACGCAGCTTCCTGGCAAGCTGCGTTATGTCGTCTTGCCCAGGTCGATCTTCTTCTGAATGGCTCTCGCCGAGTGGTAAATCATGGAGTCTATCAGTCCGGCCACTGCAAATGTAAAGAGATAGCATCGTGAGAAATAACGTTTCACATGTTTGAAATACACATTGCACTTGCGCGGCTATACCAAATTGTGTGCGTGGATGATTAAGGTTTGTTAAGATGTAACTCATCATCACCATCCACTTTCAATCCACTGCTGGATGAATGCCCCCTCCCCCTCCACACCACTGCCACGCATCATCGGCCTGCGCTGCCAAATCCGTCTCGCTCCTGCACACGCACTCATCTCGCGGCTCCAGATCCACTTCCAAAATCCCCATCAGGAGCCACCGACGCCACATTTGCGGTGTCGTGTAAGGCAGGGGGCTCGGCGGCCTGCCGCCCCGGAGCCACGCGCGGCTCTTCAAGGGCTGGCGTTGTGACGTTATTTATTAAGGACCGCCGTCTCGTATTCACCACACCGCATTGCGGCTCTTTGAAATACTTTTTTTTACCGAATCCATGAACAACAAAAGGCCCTTCCTGTTATTTTTCTTGCCGAACCCTGGCGTAAGGGAACCTGAGTTTGGGGACCCTGAGAATACCTTGGAGCATTTAGCCAGAAAAGCCTCATTGCATCTTTAAAACTCATTATCCGGGAGGGCCAATTCCTTGGGCAGATCAACGCAAAGTTAAATTCGGAGTGACATTGCCAGGAGAAGGGAAATAATAAAATAATAAAAATAAAACATAATAAAATAAAATTATCACGCTGTCTTCCCGACAGTTCTGTTTCTTCACCTGAAGACGGCCGCTTGTGTTGTGGCCGAAACGTCGTGATAATTGTATTTTATTACGTGTTATTTTTATTATTTTATTATTTCCCTTCTACGTGACTTTACCAAAAGAACCAAGAAGATGAATCCATGCAGTCACGAAAGCTTTAAATCAAAAATTGCCAGGAGACTTGCAGAGCTCCCAGTCGGCGGCACAAACCTGGAGTAACCCTAGGCTCACATGCGGCCGGCCTGGCTCTCCCGGCATTACGTTTCAAGGTACCAAGTCACTCCCGTGCTCCAGCAGCTCCCAGGCGTAGACGAGCTAACAAAAACAACGGATGATGACCAACGTCTTTCGCCCGACCAACAAACTGACTGCGGCATCACCGGTGCCGTCCGCTCCACAGGCTTGCAGCGGAAGATTCTTCATGCCAGGGTAAACACGAATGCCTCGGAGGCTGTGCCACCTGCGTGGTTTACACAAGGTCCTGCTTTATAAGACGAGTAACTTGAGCAAGTAAAAATTAAACCTTTGTGACATTACCGACAGGTATAGCGTGTTGTAATTGGCTGGGGGTGGATGGGGGCGGCTGTGAGGAGGGAAGCTGAATAGACATCAGTGTGGGGAGGCTGGAACCTGTGCTCCACCACGTGTTTGTGTTTCCGATGATACGTTTTCACACGGTCAGTGGAAACTAGAGTCGAGCCAGGCTGGGCCAATGGCGCTGCCAAAGGCGGTGACGCTCCACAGCGACGCGGCCCCATGAGACAGGCCCCTCAGCGCCGTTCCCCCCTTTCTCTCCTGCTGCCATGGTAGGGGCGCGGCGGTGGCTAGGAGATGTTAACTACCTCGCCTGGTATACAGGAGTGCGTGGGTTCGATCCCGACCCTGACGCGTGCTGTATATTTGGAGTTTGTGTGTCTCTCTCATCATCATCATCACGGTGGCTAGGAGATGTTAACTACCTCGCCTTGTATACAGGAGTGCGTGGGTTCGATCCCGACCCTGACGCCTGCTGTGTATTTGGAGTTTGCGTGTCTCTCTCCCCGGGTCGTCCAGTCTTTCCATCCACATTTAGAAACGTGCGTTAAGAGTGTTGCGGCTGCTTTAAATTTCCACGTGATAGGCCACTTCGTTGAGCTATTATTTCTGGCCAGGTAGCTTCTTAAAAAAAAGCTATATAGCTGAGTAGGCCTCAACTGGTAAAATAAATGAAAAAATGTTTTAGTTTAGTAACTTACTGACCCGTCCCTACTGGACATCTGTAAAACAAAAAGAGCTTCATAGCTCATCGGATTCCTCGCGCAGTCTAAAGATTCTGACAAGTGTTGTCCATGGCCCACGTGCATGGTGAAGCCCACTCTCTGTCCTGCGGTGCCCTTCCGAGGTCTGACGAGACGCGGCTCACTCGGGGAGAACGGTCACAGGAGCGAGCGAGGCTCTGCCACCGTGCTCACTCGTACTGCCCACCCCGTGGACCCCGGTGCTCCAACCTGTCCCTTGGATCAGGGCGCCCATTGCTCCCATTGTACCCATTGCTCCCATCGCTCCCATCGCTTCCATTGCTCCCATTGTACCCATTCTACCCATTGTACTCATTGCTCCCATTGTACCCATTGTACCCATTGCTCCCATATCACCCATATCACCCATTGTACCCATTGTACCCATTGCTCCCATTTCTCCCATTTCTCCCATATCACCCATTGCTCCCATTACTCCCATATCACCCATTGCTCCCATATCACCCATTGCTCCCATATCACCCATTGCTCCCATTGCTCCCATCATTGCACCCCGAGCCACAGCGCATGGCGAGGCGTGAAGCCGTCACTTCACTCTCGCGTCAAAGTGGCCGACCAAGCGACACCGGCGTGTCGCGTCCCCCCCTCCTCCCGAGAAACCCAAGACGGTGCCTGCCGCCTACTGGAGACACGATGGTCACCTTTAATTGAGAGGGTATTGAAGGCTTTCTTGTGCACCGATGCTCCTTGAGCGCTGAAGAATCATAATTGTATGGCGCTACCGTGACCTTCTCAGCATAAAACTTGCTCTGCAATATGTAACTGTCACTGAGGAATGCCGTAAGACGGTGCAATATTACCGCGCGGTATTGCTTTGCCTGCAGGCTGAAAAATACGACTCGAAAAGTCGAGTTCTGGGCGGCTCTCACTGCTCCTCCCTCCAAGCGAGGTGCGATTCCATCTGCATGGCCCTCTCAGAGAGGCCCTCTCAGAGAGGCCCTCTCTGAGAGGCCCTCTCAGAGAGGCCCTCTCAGAGAGGCCCTCTCAGAGAGGCCCTCTCTGGCATTGCATTGCAGTCATTTCCCAGTTATCCATGACTGAGGTTTGTTTGGGTTGGATCGCGCAAGTATAAACGTGTCGTTAAACCCGCCACCACCCGCCACCACCCGACACAGCCAATGAGTAAGGTCTGTCACGTAAATAAAACGTGTAAATTAGTTACTACTTCAGCACACCGTTGTGTTGGGAGAGTGTAAACCCACAACATTGACAATACGTTGACAATGTTGTCAATTTTGATTTAAAGCTTTCGTGACTGCAGTAATTCATATTCTTAGTTTTTTCGGTAAAGTCACGTTGAAGAGAAACAACAAAATAACAAAATATATATAAAACAATAAAAAAAAAAATTCTCACGTTTGAGTTATGGTCGAAACGTCGTGAGAATTTTTTTATTGTTTTATATATATTTTGTTATTTTGTTGTTTCTCTTCAACGTGACTTTACCGAAAAAACTAAGAAAATGTTGTCAATGTTGGGTATGTTGAACTTGGTTCGCACCGTACGTAGCCAGCCGTGCCAGCAAGGGGGTGACGACTGCTGCTGCTGCTGCGATCGCAATTGAGTCATTAGTAGGGCTTGTCACGTAAACAAAACATGCAGATTCGTTACTAGTTCAGCACACCGGTGTGTTCAGAGGAAACCCACAACATTGACAATTCGAGCACGGCGTTTTGCCAGTAATTACAACTAGCGTCATCAGGTGGACAGCCAGATTTGTGGAGAAATCCTCCATTTCCCAGTTGTACTCAAGAGGGTGGAACACACATGTACAGTGTTTATGGTACTCAGCGCGTAGGTGTTGTCACACGGAGGAAAAATGTACTACTCAGAATAATAATAATCATAAAGAGTATTATATTTAACACATCGGGCTTTCGCGACCGACATTAACCGATTTTGGCCGTCACCTGATGATGCTGGTTGCAATTACCAGCGAAACGTTATGGTACTCAAATTGTAAATATTGTGAGTTTATTCTCCAACACACCGGTGTGCTGCACTAGTAACCAATCGGCATGTTTTGTTTACGTGACAAACCTTGCTAATTGGCTGTGACGGGTGGTGGCGGATTTAATCACACATTTATATTTACACGATCTAACCCAAAAAACCTTCTATGATGGAAACGATTTAAGAATCAATTATTTCCACGTGAAAGCCTCCTTCAATCTCAAGACTATTTTTCTCAGGAAGGTCCTGCATTTGGACGTTTTGCCAGTACCATTCATGAGTGTTTGACATTTGAGAGAAAACTGAAAGTACCTGGCGAGAACTCACCATGTATATGGGGGGGGGGGGAATAACACTCAAGGTTCCGCATAGATGGACTCAATCCATACACAGACGCATCACAATCGTAGCGGACCTCCAATGAGGTGGCTCAGCTGTGACAGGAGGTGAACAAATTGCACAGGGGATGGATGGGAGAACGGGCCTACCGAGAGAGGGCAACTCCACGCCAGTAACCTGTGCCTCCAACCGTCGGACCCTCAACTCGGACCGTCAGCAGGCGACCGGGATTGGCAGATGGGTTCAGCCAATCGGGTGCAGTCGCAGACCAGGCTCACTAATTGCGCCGTGCGTGCCTCAAACACGCGTCCGCTCTCGTGGCATGTCAACACGTACGCCGAAAGCTGGCCACAGACGTCGCTCCCCCAGTGCCTGTGGTTACTGCACAAAACAACTCTTCTTTTCTTAGCGACCAGCGATGTGGAGTACGGGAGAAACGCACGGGGGAGGGGTGGTGGGGGAGGTTGTGCGGTGGAGCCGTGGCGATGTATAAGCGTTCTTTTTTGCAGGACCCTCTCATATGGTGTGAGCGCAGGTGGGAACTTGTTGACTGTTGATGGGGCCTGAGAAGCGTTGCTATGTCTGTGTGCATGGGTGCGCTGGCATACAGAATGAGCTTCGAGTCCTAGACAAAGGGGTTCTTGACTAAGCAGGATCCAGGGGCAGAGCCTGCCTGACAGGCCCGTTCTCCCTAGGGTCGCGTGGATTTTTCAATGGGTCCTTCGGTTTTCCCCACATCATCACGCATTAAGATTATTTTGGTTGCTATAAACGTCCACATGATAAGCCACTTCGTTGAGCCATCATTTCTGATAGCCAGCTCGCTTCTGAAAAATAAGCTAATAGCTCTGGGCCCTACCCAGTAAAATAAAAGTTTTTTGAGCGATTTGCTAATCTTGCCTACACTTTGCACTCCTATCACATGTTTGCATCGCTTATTGTTGTAACTTTCTGACCCACTCCAATTGGACATCTTTGACAAAGATCTTTACAGCTCTTTGAATTCCTCCTGCAGTCTAAATAAGACCCGGGCTGCTGTTTCCAAGCAGCATTTGTTTAAACAGGCAAACTCTGGACCAGTTTCAACCTTTTGGGTCTCATCAGCAGTCAGATTTTGTTATCGTGGCAGATGTGTTTAACGTTTTTTTTTTTTGCCAAGCCCATGAGGGCCAATGAGATACAGTCGAAAGCAGTTTGCCTGCTTAAATAAATGCTGCTGTGAAACATTTGTCTGGAAGGGCCATAGCCTGATGAACAAAGAAAAAACATGCATTTTTTTTTAGCAGACCATTTGTATTTTTTTTATTTATAGGTTACATCGTTTTTTTCCAAGACCGATGTTCAAAAGTAAAAAGGCTGCGTTAGCAACGCTTACAACAAATCTATTCTCGGCCATGATGGCAGCCATATGTTCGGGAGCCAAATGCCAATGTCGAGATCTGCTGGCGCCGGAGAGGGCTTTAGAAGACCGAGTTTTGCTGTTCCTCCTCCTCCACACCGAAGGAGTGAAGAGCACGGCGGTTTACGATACGGTCACACGGCACGCTTACGACCGCGCGGGTGGGGGACGAGATGAGACAGAGCGACGAACTTACAGACTGGAGGTGAGGCTGCTTTTGCACGACTTAGCTCATCGCTCTCCATCAGTGTTTTAATAAAACCCTGCGCCACTCCCCAGCAGACCATTCACCGCTCAACGGGGAGAAGCATTACAACAAATTTCCCGAAAATTTTCTGACAGCCCGATTTAATTCCCTTCGCATGTGACTCGATATTACAATTTGTTTCTTGGCATTCGATCCGTGAATGTGAAATACCACTCAGAAAATTAATGGCATTCCAGAGTTTGAAAAAAGTAATATAATATCCGTAGAAGAGACCCCTAGATTTGCCAAAAACGCTTAAATCAAATGTCTTGATCACCTAAAAGCCCCTGCACTGTAATGAGAAAGCGGCACTAAGTCACCACTGCCTACGCAGGACCCTCGTGCTTTGCTGGCTGTTATAAATGGGCTGCCAAAGAACTTTCCAGCCGGTATATAGACTCCCTTGTTTATGACGCCATATCATTAATTGAAAAATAAAACAATGCCTTCCATGTAACTGCGTGCAGGTGCTCATTCCAGAGTTACAGCTCTTGCAACCCGAGACGCTTCTCAAAAAAACATTCCGCCAGTTTTCAGGGAAAGCTGACGTCCCGTCCTTTTTCAACCGAGTTTCTACCGTGAACTGGATTCACGGCTTGGGGAAAAACCGAGCGCAAACGCAAATTGATCGTTGTTTCTGCCAAATGACTCAATTGCGATCACAGCAGCAGCAGTCGTCACCCCCTTGCTGGGACGGCTGGCTACGTACGGTGCGAACTAAGTTCAACATACCCAACATTGACAACATTGTCAACGTATTGTCAATGTTGTGGGTTTACTCTCCCAACACAACGGTGTGCTGAAGTAGTAACTCATTTACACGTTTTATTTACGTGACAAACCTTACTCATTGGCTGTGTCGGGTGGTGGCGGGTTTAACGACACATTTATATTTACGCGATATAACACAAAAAATAAACATGATCACCCAAACACATACAAATACAATTAAACCATCCTAATCCAACCAAGCGCATCCCACCGAGGTATTAACTTATTTTTTCAGAAGTGACCTGGCCACAAATGAGAGCTCAACAACAAAGCGGCCCGTGAGTTGTGTCCATGAGCGATCAACGTCGCACCGTCGTTACTTCCTGCGACCGCCGTTACTTCCTGTGACCGCGTTACTTCCTACGACCGTGTTACTTTCTGCTACCGCGTTACTTCCTGCGACCGTGTTACTTCCTGCGACCGTGTTACTTCCTGCGACCGCGTTACTTCCTACGACCGCGTTACTTCCTGCGACCGTGTTACTTCCTGCGACCGTGTTACTTCCTACGACCGCCGTTACTTCCTACGACCGGGCCCTTCCCCCTTTTTGGAACGACGACGCTTGGGGCCTACGGCGAGCTCGGTCCGGGGAGAGGTGGGGGGAGGGGGGAAACGCAGGAAACGGCCGCAGGTGCCAGCCGCTGCGTGCCAACGCGGAGGTGCGGCATTCCCTCAGCGGCAGCGCACAAACGGCCCCGGGCGTCACCGCGGCTTCTCAAAAAGCATAAACATCCGCTCGACGTGCTCTGCCAAGTATGTGCCGGCGATTTAACAACAACAAAAAAAAACAACTCAATCCGGAGGCCGAGTTCTGCTACGGAGCAAGAGCCACGCGGGGCGTGCCGGCGGGGGCTTGGGGGGAGCGGGAGGGGGGGGGGGTGGGGGCTGCGGGCCGCGCTGCTCACCTGTGAAGACGCCGCCGATGATGGCGCACACGCCGGTGAGGAAGTGGGTGAATGATCTGCAGGGGTCACAGCGGTCGACAGGCGCACGTCAGGAGAGCACGGGAGGGAAACGCAGGGGAGGAGGGGCGCGTGAACCACAACGCGCGAGTGTTCACACCGCCGACCAGCGTCGATTCCGCGTGCTCGTGCGTTGAACTTCTTTCGCAACGTACTTGGCCGACCGTGCTAACTGGAGCCCGAATCACACGGTTAACCGAGACCGACCCGGCCACGACACCTCCCATCTTCACTGACGAAGACAAAGACCCCCCCGTGTAGCCTTCAGAGACTCTCAGGGGCAAGTGCTGTTAGCGAGCAGCAGCACCTATAAAGGCTGGTACGGCACTGCGCCCGGCCGCCTTTGTCTCCCCAGTGGCGATGTTTACTCAATTGAGACTAAGTCGACCTAGGGGGAGGCCCAGAACCTGTTCCGATAATCGTCACTGGTGCTGGCCGTGAGCTGGAATCGAACTCGGGTCGCAGAGTTCATAGCGCGGCGCGCGAACCGCTACGCCACCGCTCCCCCACACGCGGACACACAGGAAGACAAAGATCCCTCACATAGGCTGAACAGACTGTTGGGGTGAGTGCTGCAAGCGAGGACTTACGGTGAATACTGACACACACACACACACACGAGACAAAGGCACTGACGCGTCGAGCACGGCATCAGCGGCAGCGGCTCGGCCCGCGCATCCTGCCCAGCACCGCGTTGGGCCGGCAAGGTACGGCCGGCACGGCTCAGCCACGTAAGCGGGCAAGCAAATTTTTTTTTTTTTAAAAAGCGTTTTTTAAATAATTGTAATCATAAAAGCAATAATAAAAGTAATAAAAACATTTTAAAAAACATTTTTTTTTAACGAACAGGCAACAGATGCGGGAGCTCGGCACGCTGCGTTACCTCTGCTTCTCGGTGAAGCGCACCATCATGGGCGACAGCTCATAGGAGACGAACACGCCGGGGAGGCCCTGGTCGCCCGCCAGCCCATTGGCCACCTTCTCGTGCTTCGTCACCGAGAACTGGTTCGTGCGCAGCTCCTGCGGTGGTGGTGGGGTGGGCGCGCGCACGCCCGCCGCCGGTGAGGTGACCGCAAACCCCCGCAGCAGCCTCCGCCGTCCCGACTACCGGTGGCCGTCCCCCGCTGCCCACGGCGCTTGCCTTACCGGTCCACATGTGCAATCGGCACACATAATCAACATCGTCGTCACCGTAATCTTTGCGTCCATATGGCGTTGCTTTCATTCCTCGGCAACTCAAAGTGCCTTCTATCACACGTCTCAACTCCCATATTCAAAGGGCACCCCCCCCCCTTTGGCAGCTGTCTCTGCGTGGCACAAGGCGACTCATCCCTCCGGCCATCGAGCCACGAGCTAGCGCACAAAGTAATCTGTGACGCCCTCAATGCGGCCCCCCCCCATCTTGACAGATCTTGGAAGCTGAGCAGGAATGATGGAGCCTGCTGAGCACTTGTGTGGGTGTCCACAGATGGGTCACAGGCGTTATAGGAGGACTGCTGAAAAGGCTGCCAAGTGCCAGTATGAGGCATTACAGGTTGAGTACGACCCGCTCCCTGGACTCCGTGAATTTGAGTCGACCTGCGTGGAAATATGAGCCCTGTGACCTCGTACGTGTGCGGTTTCTCTGGGTTTTCTCCCCACACAACACGCAGACACTGAAATGGTCAAACATCCCGATTCAAGAAAGAGTTCCCGAGCCTCGCCAGCGAGACTTTAATTAGGAATGCCCAGAAATAGTTTGCGCTGCTAAAGGTACGATTCACATTTGATTTACAAAAACACAAAACGAAAAGAGTGGCCACGGAGCCGCCGGTAACGCGAGTGCGCGCAGTACCTCTCCGTTTAGCTTCACGTAGACCGTTGGCACGATTTTAACAAAGTACTGGAACATCATGAAATCTGCAACGGACAGGAGAAATCGGGGCAAACTTCAATCAAAGCAGACCCACGAGTACGTTTTGGGCCGCGCGTCACCGTGAGCGCAAGGCTATGACAGGAAGGTGCTGCTGTGTTTCACGGACACAGCCTGCAGTTGTTTCACAGCGCCGGGTGACGTCTCTGCGTGTAATCCCAATCAAGTATTTTCTGCGGTTAAATTCGCGACCCTGGCACACAATGGCCCCACTCTTTTAGAACGACGCAGGGCATCTTTAGTGTCCGCTTTGAAGCCGATGGCGTGCGGTGGTATTTAACGGTTAATAACACCGGCAGCGATAATAACCGGCGCTCCCTGCCAAATCCGAACCGTGAACTTCTGCAACGAGCGGCGGACGCGCGACCGCCGCCGGCGTCTCGTTGCGTCGTGCCGTGGGGTGGTGGTGAGAAGTCACGCGAGTGTCAATGTCATCGCGGACACCCAACTCCAGTTACCGAGCCGCCACCAGCACCACCTCCTCCTCCTCCTCACCGCCCTTCCGCACCGCCCTCCGCTACACCGCCTCGCTCGCCCCAACAGCTCGCGCTCCCCGTGTCCGCCCTCATGCACGCGATGTCACACGGGAGCAGCTCGGGCCACAGGGGCCACAGGTGACATCCTCAATCCCTCCCCCATCCCAACTCCACCTCCGCCCTACATAGGGGGGTGCGTTTGAGGGGGTGGCGAGACGTTAACTACTTCGCCTGGTATGCAGGAGGTCGTGAGTTCAATTCCGACCCCGACGCCTGCTGCTGCTGTATATTTGGAGTTTGCGTGTTCTCCCCGTGGTCGTGTGGACTTTTCTCCGGGTCCTCCGGTTTTCCCATCCACATTTAGAATCGGCATCACGTGTATTTAGAATCGACGTGATGCGAGTATTTGGCTGCAATAGATTTCCACACGGTGATAAGCCACTTCGTCGCGCGAAAGCAGCTCAGTGGGCCTTACCTGGTAAAATAAAAAATAAAAATCTATATTTTGTCATCTTTGGTTTTCACACACACAGACACGCAAGCACGCACGCACGCGTGTGACATGAGCGACGAGCCCAAGGCGTTTGGCACCTTCGTTGGAGACCGACTTGGTGCCGTCGAGAGGGTTCACGATGCCGGGGTAATCTCGGCCGAAGGACAGGTGGGCGATGTGGTGCGTCAAGTTGAACTGGGGAAACAAAAAGACAAAGATCCCGCCGTGGGGCCTTAGCAGACCGTTGGGGGCAAGTCCTAGTTAGCGAGCAGCAGCAGCACCCGCCACGAAGGCCGGCCACGGGTGCACTCGAGGCGGTTGGGCGGCCAACGCCACGCCTGGACGCCTTTGTCTCCCCGAGTGGCGGTGTTTACACACCGCATCGGGTGCTCAATTGAGGCCGAGTCGATCTAAGGGAGGCCCCCCATGACTGGTTTAGAGAATCGTCACCGGTGTTGGCCGCGAGCGGGAATCGAACTCGGTCGGCCGGGTTCGTAGCGCGATGCGCTAAACTGGAGAAACGCTCGCACGCGCACACATATTGGGGATGGGGTGAATTCACCGGGAAAACAACGACCGCTGCATGTGTACGTATGTGCGTTGAACTTCTTTCGCCCCGTACGTAGCCAGCCAGCCGTGCTAATCGGAGGTCAAATGCCGCGGAGAGCCATGGCCGTAGCCATCGATCAATTGAGGAACGTCAATGCTCAGGGCTCACGACACGTGCGGCCAATCGCAGAGCGATGAGATGAGATCAGGTCATGTGCGGGTGCTGTATGGGTTGTTTCATCGCGGGATGTTATTTATGGCTTTCATTGTGTTTTTTTTATTAAATATGCATTTAAATATTTTTGTGAGCTGTGTTATGCATTGAAACATTCACAACTGGGATGATTTTGGTTAGTTCCATTTTAATAACCACTGGATTTCAGCCATTGCTTACGAGCAATCTTGGATTGTATTAAGACTTGTGCGTAGCTTATCAATGTATGCTGAACTTGTTTCGCACCGTACGTAGCCAACCATGATAATCGGAGAGGCGGGGGAAGAACAACAAACTAAACACATTAATGGGGTGGTCGAGTTTACATGTTTAAATCAGTGAGAGAGCGCCTAACTAGAGAAGTGGCTCCCGAGAGCAATCAGGAGCTGCTGTCGGCCTCGGTTCTCTGCCACAACAACCACTTCTAGTTTCAACGGCCTCAATTTATTCACCGCTCCGGCCAATCAGGAACTTCCTAGCCTCCTTGGCCCGAGAAGGCTGAAGCAAAATTGCTTCAGAGACGCGAGCACCGATCGCTCCACAAATTGAAAATCCCAAGAATTCATAAAATAAACAAAATGCAGGGCAACTCCTCTTATCCTTAACTCCTATTATCCACGACGACTATTATCCGTGGCAACAGAATCCGCCATGTCACCGCGGACAGGAGGGGTTTTTCTCCCGTACACGCTGCAACATTGACAAGGCGAGTCTGCCTTGCTGCACCGGAGTTTACGTCGGGGGACACTGCGCCGATCTACGCTGCCTCTCTCCGATGACATCTCCGCCACAGCCGGACTGCTTTCGCGGGAGCGCTCGGTGACAGATTAAATGAATAAATACGTTCAAAAGTCACGAGCGAACCGAGGACCGGGAAGCCCCGTGACAGGGCCTGCAACACGTGAAGCCGGCCCCAACGTCTGCGTTGCGTCCACAGCGCCAAAGCGCAGCAATCACCGGCCGCGGTAAACACAATCACACTCTTCCCCAAGCCGACGCGGCTCAAAGACATTTCTATGACTTTTTTTTTCGGGACACCGTCATCTAAAGCGCTGCGTTTATTTTCATTCCTCGGGGCTGACGGCGCGCACTCGGCGCTTCGCCGCTCGGGCCCCGTGCTCAGCTGAAGGCAAGGTCATAAATGAGCCTCGTAAACTGCTCATTTTTCCTTCTACACGTGGACGTATCAAGTTCTGTGGAAATCGCCCGTGCCACAGCGACGTCAAAACAATGTCCGTTCTCCGCACGCCACCGCCACCATTGCCAGCGCGACCATCGTGACCACCGCCAGCAGGCCCGCGAGGATCAGAGTGGGGAGCCGGACCCTGCCGCCCCACGCACGCCCCCCCTTGATCTGTGTTTAGAGGATCAGAGCGGGGAGCCAGACCCTGCCGCCCCACGCACGCCCCCCCTTGATCTGTGTTTAGAGGATCAGAGCGGGGAGCCAGACCCTGCCGCCCCACGCACGCCCCCCCCCCTTGATCTGTGTTTAGAGGATCAGAGCGGGGAGCCAGACCCTGCCGCCCCACGCACGGCCCCCCCCCCCCCCCCCCCCCCCCCCCCCCCCTTGATCTGTGTTGAGAAACCGGATCCTCGGCACAGGACATGGCCAGGAAATAGTTCACCGCAATAAATGGTACGGGACTGATAAAACAAAATATCTCCTTACAGAGGCGGTGGTGGTGGTGGCGGTGGCGCGCGTGCGCGGAGAAGACGCAGACGGGACTGGGACAGGGTTGGCCTGGAGCCCGCAGGGGGGGGCACTGATTGCGCCCGTCTGGGAGAATTACAAACAGCTGGACTGCGCCGAGAGGCTGAGATTAATAGGGCGCGAGTCGCGCTGATGAATGGGCCTTTTCTGGAAGAGGGTCTGCTGTCTGTGCTCTGCCGTGGCCATCACCCGAAAGATGAATTACTTTTCACCGGAGTAACACCCGCGGATTAAATAATGCCGGGTGACAGCAGTGAAGCGGGCTGGCCAGAACTCCCCCAGTGGTATCAATTTCAGAATTTGAGTAAATTAACTTACCCAGCAGGAATGACTCGGTAATCATGGTACGCATGGTGATCATATTTTGAAGAATATAAGCAAACCAATATCTTTGACAATTTCTATTTGGAGTGTTTTACCGGGGAAAGCTACGTTTCACGACGGCTTAAGGACTCTTGTCAGAAAAACATCCGAGACGGGAATGTTTGATGAAATCTCTCGTGCGAGGATTTGTGCGCGGTGTACAACTGGAGACCCCGGAGAAAGCCCTCGCAGACTGTACCAATTCCACCCGCCACCAACGCCACTACCACCGTCTTGCTCAGGACACGGAGGTCACGCTCGCATCTCCTCATGATCCGCCAACCTAACCCGCTTACCGTGGGATCGGTTAAAGGCGCACGCATCACTTCTTACAAGGACATCACCGTACGTTTACATTGCATCTCGTCTCCGCCCTCCAAATTTTATTTCACGTTGCATGGCAAGCGATGGATCAGAAACAAATTTGTGATGCAAGCTGCAGGTATTTGCTAATTCAAGCAATAACTTCGAGTTATTCGAGTCTAAGTGTTCATGGGGAGGGGCTTCATAAGTGATGTTATTGCCTAATTACACACTTTAGATTTACAGGCGTTTATCCACGACGCTACATTTGCACATTCAACATTCCCCCAGATGCTCAGGTTCACGGTGGCCGCGCTGCAAGTGGCCGCCTGTAATCCAGCACTGCGGAGGCAGCAGCGAGGGTTTGTGTGGATCACGGCACCACACATTACTAAAATCCCTTCCTCCCGTGGGCGTCAAGGCGGTACCATACCCTGGCTCGCCAGGAAGTGGTGGTTCAACAAAGTGTGGACTAATGTCAGCTGTCCATTCTGCACGGCAGCACCTGTCAACGCCAGCACGTCACACGAGGGGATGGGTGGACAGCACCAAGTCCGGCTGCACAAGCTACTCGTTTAAGGCTGAGTCGACCTAGGGGCAGGCTCAGGACCAGTTCAGATGTTCGTCACTGATGTTGGCCTTGAGCGAGAATTGATGTCGGGCCGCCGGTTTCATTGCACAATGCTCTAAACCGCTGCACCACCGCTCCTCACTAATCAGTCTCACACACACTACCGCATGCGTGCGTGGCTCATTGTTGCCTGATTGGTGGGCTCTGGGTAGGCAGTGAGGGATGTAAGTGGTGCTCGGCGTATCAAGGATGGAACAAGAGTTGTTTAAAGTACGAGGAAATGGCTGGCGGTGATGTCAGTGGGGATGAGAGGCAGGGGTGGGCGCGCGGGGGGGGGGGGGATGCAGAGCGACCGTGGTGAGAAGACAGGGGGTGAGCAATCACGAGCGGAAAGCACTTCCCAATTTCTTCACCGATTGCCCGGCAATCGACAGGGCAATGGGCTGCAGCTGCGAGGGAGCTCGCAGGACTCACGACGGGGTTTCCTCGCTCGGTGAACTAAATCGTCGCGTCACCTAGCAGTGAACTTTTTATTTCTATTCATATGTTCTTTCACGCGTACACAGTCTCTCTTCTGCTTGGAGAGAATGACTGGCTAACCGTAGATTCTCAAAGTGGAGAACTGACTTGATCCTTGAAAGTGAAGAAGTTACTGAAGACAACAAAAAATGAATCGTGAAGTCGGCCAATTCAATTCAAGGCGGAGTAACGGCAGTAAATTCAGCCAACCGTATCGACGATGTGAATTCAATTAATTGAGACTCGCAAATTTCACCAGTGAGCATGACTAATGAATTAACGGAATCCCACGCCTCCGTTGAGAGAGAGAGGGGGGGGGGGGAGTGGTGCTTGCTGACTGCCAATGTTGCACTTACCTTGTCCATGCCAAATGGATTAAATTCATGCACTGTGGTACAACAAAAACACACACACAAGAGAGACGCAATCAATGCCGGTTCAGTTACAAACACATTAGCAGGCAAACAACGACCGACATCAAGCCGACGAACGTAACATTCTTCTCAGACTTACAGGAAAGCGCGCGTTCAAAACGACAGGCGGCGAAAAAAATGTAACGACAGCACACTTTGCACGACGGCTGACCTTCCATCCAGTCGCCCAATGGGGAGAGAGAAGCGAAGCGGCATTTGCATGCGAGGATTATAAAACAAACCCCCCCCAGCCGCGACACGGACGCACGTGACCCGGTGACACTCGCAACGCTCGCGACGCTCGCGAGCGCTTCAGGGGGCAACAGCGCCGGCCACGATAATGTCAGCCGCCGGTGTGGAGCGTCGCGAGTCAGAATTTGATCCAGTGCGTCAGGAGGTTCGAACCGCCGGTTTGAGCGAAACGTCATCAGACGCTGACGTTGAATTCGTCCGATCTAACTAAGGCTTTACCTTTCCATAGAGAGAGAGAGAGAGAGAAAAAAAAAGCATCCGTCCTCCCGTGCTCGCGACGTTACTGCTAAGAACTGCTCCGTGTTAGTTCGGCACTGTGGCCATTGGGGTCAGGAAATAAAGCAAACGCCTGACACGCTCAAATCATTCGCCCCAAGGTTGTGTGACAAGATGGAGAAACGACTGCAAAGTGACGCTTGGCCGATTTCCAGAGCAAAAATCGTCCTCTCCCTTTGGTCAAAGGTCGCCCCCGTCCGACTTTGCAGTCCGCTCGGTGCGATTGGCCGTTCGCGTAAATTTAGTGCCGACTTCATTGCGCGCGCTCAGCAGAAAGTTTTTTTTTTTTTATATAACTGCGGCAATCACCGCGCGGACTGGTCTGGTCCCCGGGGCTCACGTCGCATGGCGGCGGCGGCGATGACAAATGTAATAAAGTTGCGATGCGGCTTCAACGCGGACGACGGCGACGACGACCCCGAGGGGCCCGCGGCGGGCGGCAACGCTCACGCGACCACAAGAAGCAGAAGAAGATTTCTCATCGATTTCCAAGCCACAGACGCGTCCCTGGAAGCGGCTTTTAATGACTGGATTTAAATTCGCTTACAGTGGTGGATCGTGGTGGGGGGGGGGGGGTGGGGAGGTTAGGTTAGGGGGTGACGCCCCAACTTGAACCCCTAAGCAGTTGCCACTGCGTTGATGTTTACCAGAGAGAATACGTTGAGTGTTGTTCTTAATAATGAAAAAAAAATATTGACATTTCAGGACCGCGTCGAAAGTCCGCCTCTGCTCACGTACAAACTCGCTTTCAGGATCAGGGGTGGACGGACGGACGCTCGTGGCCACGGGGCGGACGGGGTGGTGGTGCCGTGGCGATACTCACGACGCGCACAAAGAAGCTCCTGAGTTGGATTTCTGACTCGGGCGCCTTTTCTGCGTGTGGCGCTTGCGTGTCCTCCTCCCCCCCGCACTGAATGGGGTTTCCTCCAGGTTCTCTCGATTTCTCCCATAATGTCACTGGCCAAACGTCTCAACGCTGAAAAATTACTCTGCAAATTACTGAATTGGGATCACACACAGACAGCTGCAACACCGCTCCCTCCTCCGGCAAAACATGGCAGGACCCTCCTGAAAAGGGTCTTGAGACTCGGCGCGGTCTTCCTGAGTAAACAAGCTGAATTAATTACGCCCGTCACTAAGTGACTTGACAAAGGGGTTGGTTGATCAGACAGATATGGCCAGCCATCAAACAAAGCCGTTCACCGCATCGCGCGCTCTCGGATGCGCCTCTGCGGCCGTCTGGAACGCTCTTCCTTCCGATATTAGGAAGCCACCGGAGCTACGCAACTTTTAAATCATCAAGATTGAAAACTAATTTCTTTAGAACTGATTTTTATGTTTAGTTTGTTGTCCTTCCCCCGCACCTCCGATTAGCACGGTTGGCCACGTACATAAGTACGGTGCGAAACAAGTTCAACATACGTACACATACACACGTGATGTTCGGAACGCACCGACCACTCGCCCAGGAAATGCGCTTCTGGCCTATCTACGTGACTTTACCGAAAGAACCAAGAACATGTATCTGCACAGTGCCAGTGTTCTCACCTCACACACGCGGCCTGATGCAGGAAACCCGAGTTTCTTCCCACGTGTAAAAGTTCTCAACGAGCCTCTTACGACGAAGGAATTCAAATGATTAAATTACTCGATTGGAATACGCACAGCAAAATCACCGTGTCTCCCACCCCCCCCCCCCTCGTCTCTCTCTCCCCCCGTAGCAAAAACTTGGCAGGACGACTCCCGAAAAAGGATGAATGACACTCGGCGAGGCTTGCCTGGGTCATACAAGCCTAATTATCATCGGTGCTGGTTCTTCCAACACCGATGTTTGCTCTGCATTGGTGAGGCGCTCGCTTCACGACCGCACGTCAGGGAAAGAACATCCGGGCCGACGCTGGAGACGAATGCTTTGAGTCGCTGTCAACGGTGCTCGATGAAGCTATTCTATTTGCTTTTCGTGCTTTGGTTTGTTGTCCTTCCTGCCAGCACCCTTCCATAATGCAAACTAAAGCTTAAAAAAACTACACAACTCTTTTTCACAAGCGGCCTGGCCACAAATGGCAGCTCAATGAACTGGCTTATCACGTGGAAATGTATAGTAGCCAAATACTCTAAAACGCACGTCGATTTTCATTGTGAGGGGAAACATCGGAGAACCCAGAGAAAAATCCACACGACCACGGGGAGAGAGACACCGCAAATTCCAAATATACAACAGGCGAAAGTGTCAGGATCGAACCCATGACCTCCTACATACCAGGCGAGGTAGTCGACATCTCGCCACCGTGGCGAGATGTTAACTACGGAGTAGACTCAAGTGACGTATAGAGATATATGCGTGTCTATATTTAAATGGGCAGCTGCCACAGTGGTGCAATGGGGGCGGGGGGGGCAGCTTATAAAAAAATTCCACCGCCCCCCACCCTCTGCTTCTGTGCCACCCAGTGGCGTAGAGGAGGCCACCAGGGTTAGGCGATCAGCAGGTCGTGCGTGGCGAGGTTCTGCTCTACTCTCGTGCACGATGGCAGCGGCAACACGTTCAGGAGCCGGATGCCAATGTTGGGATCTGCTGCTGGCCACGGCGAGAGGGTCTTGAGGAAAGTTTGTGTCATTCTGCGCAGACCGCAGTGGGTTTACTACGGTGAGGCCTATAGTTTGGGTTGCATGGCCACAATCACATGACCACGGCCCTTCTTTAACTTTCTATTAATTAAGGAGACGTGTGCATCGGCCTGCTAATGTTCCGATGCGGTCGAAAGTGCACGAGTGTGGTGAGGTCAAGTGTGGGTACGTCGTCCGCTTACGGTCAATGTGGAAGAGTAGACCAAATGCCCTCTAGAGTTCGCTCTCGTGGCGGCCCTTGCGCAAACATTTTTCATGGCTGCACCATTAATTATTTTATAAGACTCAATGCTGTATTTCGCTCCAACAACAGCAATGTTATCTTGTTTAGCAATGGGCACGTGGCCTCTGGAATGCCCAAGGAGAAATGAGAAGCATTCCAACCCATGGGCTGAGTTGTCCAGTGTAAACAAAGTACACACGCCACTACTCTTGAGTATTTTTTAATCAAACTCCACTGGAATTTACGAACGTTGTCTTGAACCCTTCAGTGCCCATTACAACGAGAATTAATCCAGATAGGTTTGTTGCACGCACGCACGCACGCACGCAGGAATCTTGCCGCGCGGTTCGCGAGATCTCTTCCACGTGAGGACGAGAAGTTTGGGGGCCCACAGCCTCGGCCTCCAACTGTTGATCTATCGAGCCGCCGTTGCACGAGACAGATCAATTAAAACGAAACTATATTTTTATTTTACCGGGTAAGGCCCACTGAACTAGATCTGGACATAATTTATAACTCAACGAAGTGGCTTATGACGTGGAAATTTATAGCGGCCAAATGCTCTGAACGCATGTTTCTAAACGTGGAGGGAGAAACGAGAGGACCTGGAGGAAAATCCACGCGATCACGGGGAGACCATGCACTAAATATTTTTAGTGCGGCACAATCTTTTTGCGCGGACATTGCGTGGACTCGAACCCAGGTCACAGGCCGCTTTAGAAGGTGGGGGGGGGGGGGTGATGGTCCCGAATTGCTAACCTTCGTAAACATGGCCAGCAGATTTATAGTAAAAACATGAATAATAATAATAATATAGAAACCCATTGAACACGCGGTGACTCTTTATCTTCGTGCTATAAACTGGAAATCATCCCTCCCGAGCCGCTCTCCACACAGCGGGGGAAACGGAGCAGTGAACCTCTCTTACCCTGGTGAAACAGAGCGGTAAACCTCTCTCACCCTGGTGAAACAGAGCGGTAAACCTCTCTCACCCTGGTGAAACAGCGGTAAACCCCTCTATCACCCTGGTGAAACAGAGCGGTAAACCCCTCTCACCCTGGTGAAACAGAGCGGTAAACCCCTCTATCACCCTGGTGAAACAGAGCGGTAAACCCCTCTATCACCCTGGTGAAACAGAGCGGTAAACCCCTCTCACCCTGGTGAAACAGAGCGGTAAACCTCTCTCACCCTGGTGAAACAGAGCGGTAAACCCCTCTCACCCTGGTGAAACAGAGCGGTAAACCCCTCTCACCCTGGTGAAACAGAGCGGTAAACCTCTCTCACCCTGGTGAAACAGAGCGGTAAACCCCTCTCACCCTGGTGAAACAGAGCGGTAAACCTCTCTCACCCTGGTGAAACAGAGCGGTAAACCTCTCTCACCCTGGGGACCGCCGCCAGCCACGTGACCTCACTGCGCCGTGCTGGCGATTGATTTTGGACGCCGCCAGGTGAATGATAACGCTCTCTCGTGCGCACGTTGCCTCTTCAACATGCACGCGGAATAACTCAGCCTTGCTCCCGTGATACACCATGACCTTCAATTACCCGGGAATCACTCGCTGAGAGTTGCAAGATTTTTCTACATGGGATTGTTCGTCC